CAGCATGTCTTCTCTCTCTCTCTCTCTCTCTCTCTCTCTCTCTCTTTTATGTTTTGCTGTACATGTTGTATGATTGTGTGTTGTTGTTTTTATTTTTAGTTAGGAAAAGACGACAAAATCAATGATTTTATAATCAGGTAATTGATAACAACAATAATAATAATAATGATAATGATAATACCATGATATTGATGATAATACTTTAATATGATCCAATATTAAACTTCAATTGAAATATTCTCCCAATGACTAACCCACCTACCATTAGTATGTACATGTACATGTGCCCCTTCATGTACTGTAGGATATCACTGTGGCACCAGCAGCAGCTAATGGGGGACGTGTTCTTAGGACAGATACACTTATCACTCTCCTCATTATCACTCACTGGACCACACCCACCTCGCTCCTACCAGGCCTGGTACAGTCTCCGCCCCGGGTCAGAGTACAGTCCGCTAAAGATTGGATCAATGAGATTATTACTAATATACCATGAGGACTATATACTCACATCAACCACTTATCAACCACTACTGAACCTACTAGTGAACTCCATCACTGAACCGGTACGAGTGTATATTCTAATTACAGCAATGTACTGTACATGTATACATGTTATAATTATTAAAGATTTTACTTATCATACATTTACATGTACATGTACATATGTAGATGCATATTTACAGTGTATCCTCTTTATTAAGAATGTTCACGGTACTTTTGTATAGGTTTCTAACTTTGTACCAAAGATTTCAGCTACATGTACATGTACTAGTTGACATGTTGACATGTTTTTGTTGTGACAGTTAATCTTGTTGTTTGTTTGATATTATTTCTATGTCATGTACTGTAGGATTTTCAAGATACCTCATTGTGTATACTGAATGAAGTGAGTAAGGACAGATCAGCAATGGGTCTCTGTATAGTCAATCTATTCCTCCAACTCAATAAAGTATGAAACTAATGGACATGTTTATGTTGATAATGTACATGTACATGTATTTTATCTTTTAGTTTGAGGAGTTAGCTCATAGACTGATTACAGTTGAAGTTACCTCCACCAGGTAATGCTTTATTTATTATTAATTTGTTGTTCCATTTAACGGACAGCACCTAGTGTACCAATTACATTCCTTACTGTATAAAATAACCTCCACATAAAGGACACCTCTGTATAACAGAGATACTTTCTTGTACATAAGTGTCCATTATATAGAGGCTACACTATAATTAATAATCTTTATTTATTTATTTATTTATTTATTAATTTATTTATTTATTTATTTATTTATTTATTCTAGTGATCCTAATACATTGTTTCGTGGTAATTCTGTGGCCAGTAAAGTGATTGATGAGTTTATGAAAGTTGTTGGACAAACTTATCTACACAGGACACTGCAGCCTTGCATTGATGAGGTAATAAATAATAATAATAATAATGATAATAATAATAATAATAATAATGATAATAATAATAATAATAATAATAATAATAATAATAATAATAATAATAATAATAATAATAATAATAATAATAATATTAATGATACATGTACAATGTAATTAATGTTTTAATTTAGATTTTTGAAGTGAAGAGGTCGTGTGAAATTGATCAGTCGAAATTATCTGAAGGAGAAAATATTGACCTTAACATGGTAACTTTGAAATGATTGTATACATGTACATGTACTTATGTTGTATAGAAGGTTTGAGCTAATTCCAATCAAAATTGGATTCTTTACAAATTTTTGAAGTTGCTCCAAAATTGGGTCAAAGTCCCTGTACTATAGTACAGGGTCGTTGGCCGAATTTTGCCAAAAATTAAAAGTTGAGAATTTTTAATTTTTATAATATTTTCAGATACATATACATGTTCTTATGTTGCGTAGAAAGTTTAAGCTGATTCCGATCAAAATTGGATTTTTTACGAATTTTTAAAGTTGCTCCAAAACTTATTTTTGCTAATATTTTAATTACATTTTTTTACAATACATTATTGTATTCATAATTTATTTCTTTCCCTCCATAGACTAATTTATTATTTTTTGTTGAGAAGCTCATGAGTGCCATTACTAGTTCTGCCCGTTCCTGTCCCTCAGTTATGAAGAGAATATTTCATTTATTACGAACACTATCAGTCAAACAATTCCCTGGTGAGACCACACCCAATAACCACGCCCCTTTGTTAACTCCACCTATTTTTAGAGTTTGAAGATGAAGTCCGATTCACATCGATAAGTGGGTTTATCTTCTTAAGGTTTTTTGCTCCGGCCATTTTGAATCCAAAGCTGTTCGGACTACGACCCGAGAATCCAGTCAGTACATGTACACACCGAAATAAAATACATGTACTGTGTAGCAGCTGGTGGAATTTGGAAGGGAAGAAAGTTTAGTGATTTTGGGATTTTAATAACAATTTACCTAACAATTATGTGTTAATGCTCAATGGCTCCCGGACATTAATTTCTGTAATTAAAATACACCAGCAAATCAGCAAAATTTTATACCAGCTATATAGTGTATAATGACAAAAATATTATTATTATTATTATTATTATTATTATTATTATTATTATTATTAATGTTTTTTGTTCCTTTTTAGAATCAGACTGTCTCAAGGACTTTGCTTCTCATTTCTAAAACTATTCAAAATTTAGGAAATGTCGGAGCAAGAGTAAATAAATAAATTAAATTAATTTTT